CACTCACGGGTTCCCCATCGCAACAACCTGTTCTTTTCTTATTTTAAAGCATTCTAGCTTTTTCTTTCTTTCTTTTTATCTTTAAATTCTTTAGTCTCCAAATTCTCATACATATGCATATGTTTGCATGTAGATGATTCGTGCTTATTATTCTTTCTAAATGCAAATATTGAATGCAAGAATGCCATGTAGGATAAAAATAAGTCTTTCTCTATCATCTACAAGCTCATATCAAGATCACAAATAAATACACTCATACTTACACTTCTCTTGGACATTTCATCAAACATAATGCATGCATTCTCAAATTCTAATTTAGCTATACTTCTATTTCTTTCTCAAGCCACCAATATTTGGAGTAAAACTCCCTTAAATCAATCTAAACCTAGCCAGGAAAAATACACTTCATAATTCTTCTCAAACTCTTTCTAAATTCAACCTAACTTCTATCAATCACCACAAAACAACTTCCACTTCTCATGGCTAAATTCTACTCATCCACAACCATCAATCTCATCAACAATTCTCAAAAACATAAACACATACATACATATAAAAATTATTTACTCACTTGATTTCTCAAATCATAACTTGAGTTGGATTTACTTACCTTGAACTTGAGTCCTTCCACTAGAATCTCTCTCTCTTTGGTAGACTTCCACTTTCTCCAAAATCCCAAGCATAGAAACTATAAGAATTCAACACTTTAATAATTCATCACACCGTTATTTGCAAGAATTCTTACTTGGGATGCTTAGGATTGAATCTCTACCAAAAATCCAATCAAAAGCCCTCTAAAATGCCTTGAAAATTGATGAAGAAATTGAGAGAATTGAGAATGAAAGTGGCGTGTGGGGTGTAGAGAATGGTAGGGTTTGTGTGCTTGAACTCCTAATATCTCATATTAATATGCATACTTTCCCATTTTGTCCTTACACTTTCTTGGAATTCCATCTTTACCCTTTAATCATTTACAAGAATGCCCTCACCTTCATTGCATTCTCCATGAAATTTCCTTACTTTTCATTCCCCACATTTACAACTAATTAGGGGTAGAATGGTCATTTATCCCTTAATGAAATTTTCTCTAGAATCTTCTCAAAGCTTTCAACCAACTCTTTGCCATGGCGAAGTTTTTTCTTCTCCTCAGTGAAAAATTCCAGAGCATACGTCACCGCGATGAGATTTCTTCTTTGTCACGGCGAAGTCTGCAATTCCCAACTTCGCCAATCCTTCACCTTAAAACAAGCAATACCATGGGCAAACAGGCAACACTAAGAGCATATAAGCATAACTAAGGGTGAACAAGCATAAAATAGGTTACATACCTCAATGTGGGCGTTACAGGCCACTCTCACCATAAAAGGCATAAAAGTAAGTGAAGGAGGAGAATGAAGCCTTATCAAAGTGTAAAATTGGAAGAAACTCACCGAAAAAGCACCGTGAAGTCGAAAGAGCAGCGATAGAATAAAAGCAAAGAAATCTAAAACTTTTTGCAAAGTGTGTAGGATTTTTGACGAACTTGCCCGCTTTTATAATGGCTTGCATGGGAGACGAAAGGGCGGCATTCGACCATAGCCATCGATCTACAGTGGATCTCAACCCTCCATTCGTCGAGCAATCCTAGCCATTGGACTTGGCCACATGTCAATCATCTGTAAAGGTCGATCAATCGTCAGACTGCCACAATCATAACTGTCGCCTCGACTTCGCTCATAGATAGCTATATTCGCCCACGCTCGACGAAAAGTAACTACCAAAGGTTGCAACATTTAATGTGACATGATCGCATGGAAGTTACACATATGTCTTCATTTCAAATTCTGAGTTTGTCAAGAATATCACAACAGAGGAAAGGTCTAGTGTTGATTACGTCGACCGAAGATGATTCTGACTCATGGAGCTCGGTCAAATCTTTCTTCAGCACATAATCTTCGAAGTTTGAGCTTGACCTCAAATCAACCATTTAGTCTTCTAAGCTCAAAATGAGCACTGAACACTAAGGGGCAGATGTTGTGTGTGATGTTTCCATCAAACTCAGAGAAGTTAGAGGCCAGCGAGGTTATAGCCCAATTCAAAATCAATTCGACTCAATCGATTGTCCGACCTAGCATAAGCTCGTCAAGATATAGCTCGACCCCAGCATAAGCTGGTCACAACCAATCTCGACAGTTATTCAACTAGCTCACAGATAACCTCAGATCCCAGATATCTTGAAAGGGATCAGATCGACAGCAATCTTGGCACAATCTCAGCGCTCAATCGCAAGAATATTGGAGTTGCATTTCAATCCTAATTGTAATCCCTTCATTTTTCACTCTTTCTTTTGTACAAAATCTGTATATAAACCTCCTCTAACAATTAGAAAGGGGTTAGCAAATTGTTTTAGAAATACTATCGTAAGCTCTATAGCAAATACAAAAAACAGTAGACGTAGGCTCAAGAATATAACTTACCAAACCACTTTAAAAACTCTCTTGTGTCGTTTTCATTACTGGTTTTTACATACATTGCTGGTTTTCATTAAATCATGCACACATCAGTTCCGATTCTGTCAAAGTCAATCGGATCACTCTAGTTGGTATAAAATCTTGTATCAACAGATAAATATCTCCAATATATTATAAATAAATTAATAAAAGAGATAAAATGTATAAATCATGAAGTATATAATGATAATTCAAAAAATAAATATAAAATTAATTTGATTTCAGCATTAATTATAATAATTCAAGATAGATAATATTGAAACATTATCTGCCATTTAAAATATTTTGTATAATATTGAAACATTATCTGCCAATGCCGAGTTAGATTCGGGAATGTTCCTTCAAGGAGGAGAAATACCAACATGATAATCACGGAGATAACTAGGTGGTAAGGAATTTGTTGTTCAGGGAGACGAAGTTGTAGATGAAGTAATGGACGAAGCAATGGTCGGTGAAAGAAAATCTGGTGAGGAAGCTTCAGTGTTGGAGTTAGAAGGAGAAGCTTCCTGAGAAAAAGATTTTGACGAAAAAGATTCGGTGTTGGAATGGGAAGAAGAAGACGGATTGGGGTTTGGGGGCGTCATCACCATATGTTGGTGATTCAGTATTAATACAGTCCAATCCCAGTAACCAAACACACCTCATGCATATGCGATGCCATTATCAATATGTAAAGAATGTGATGTGTGATTGATTGTTAGAGCAGATACAATTTCCAGATTTGTATCATAATTGAATTTCCATGTCAAAGAGAAATCTCTCAAGAGATTAATTTTTAATATATAATAATAATAATAATTCTATTTAAGGAATAAAATTTGGCGCGCATACACACACAAAAGTTATACAGTTAACATACATGATTACTTTGCAATAATTATTTAAAATTAATCGAATCGACACTAGAATAAGGATTTAATATATGTTTGATATAAAATTTAAATACAATTTTTTGTTTTTTTAAAACAAAGGATTCAAAAATCTCATGAAAATATAGTTAGTAAAAATAAGTTGAAATGTTTTTAAAAACAGTTTTCGACAACAGTTTTCATATACAATCCTAAAAACTGGTATAGAATTAGAAAACGATTATAAGTCGTTTTCACAGTTTTCAACTATTTTTAATCCAAAAGGCAATTTCTTAATATCATATCAAACGTATTTTCAAATATTAAAAATAATAAGATGCAACCCAAAATTTTTAATCGTATTTTAGTTTTTAAAATTATTTTCGGATCATAAATTATCCTTTTTGAAAAGTTTTTTTTTTTTTAAATTAGAAAACACTAATATTCTCTCAAGAATTCTTGTAATTGTTATCCCTAATGGTTAGGGCTGTTATCGAGCCGAGCCAAGTTTTAGGCTAAATGAGCTTGGCTCAATCAGGGGGAAGAGGAGTTTGAGTCGAGCCAATCGAGTTGCTGATTTTCTGACTCGGTTCAAACTCGTTTAGGGTGAGGGGAGATTCAAGCTTGGCTCCCGAGTCGGCTTAACAAGCCAAATTTGAGCCGGCTCGCGAGCCACTAGAAAACTTGCAATTTTTTTTAAAAACCCAACAGTTTTTTTATGGATAATAATAGCAATCAGCAACAACAACATTAAAATTTTAATTGCAACAATATTAATAGCAATCAACAACAATTTTGAAATCTATTATCATTCTGGGAGCTAATTATACTTGAACTTATTGAGTTTAATAAAATTTGAGAATGAAAATTTAAAAAGAAGAAGAACCACTTGAAGCTTGCCAGAAAGACGAATTTTGTGGATGAGTTTTGTGGTTTTTGCTTGTGGTTTGTCTTACAGACACTAGGAAAGAAGATGAAAATGGAGAGATTATGAGATTTTTGTGTTGTGTTGGAGAGAAAAGTGGGTGAAGAACGAGTAGTTGTGATGTGAAGGGGAGAAGAAAAAGGAGAGAGTGAAACTTTCTTTGCACAAGGGTAAAAAATATTAATAAAAATTTTAAATATTTATATTTATTTAGTGATTTGATGGTTAACAACAACCCAAGCGCCAAAGTCTGAAATTTGTCGCCTGCGCATTTCCCACTTCTCAGGCGGGTTTGTCAATTTTAAAAACTAAAAAATTACATATCACCCCCTAATCATGTGTATGCGACCCAAGCTTGTGAGTCAAGTCACATGCTGCTCGAACTCAGCTCGATTTGTATAACGAGTTCGAACTAAGTTTTATTAAGTCTTATACGAGCCGAACCGGCTCGCAAGTTGTTCAGCTCGACTAACAGCCCTACAACAGTGTCTCCATGTGTTGTTAAAGAAAGCATTTTTACTCGAGCACTTTTTAGAAAACTACTTCCACACATCCCAAGAGCATATATCAGAAAAAATAAAAATAAAATAAAAACAATATTACAATTTGCTTTTGAAATTAAGATAGCAAGAGAAATGTGGTGCATAGCCGGTAGGTTAGCCAAAGACCGTTAGGTTTTACCGGTAATTCAAATCAAACTGTCCCGGGAAACTAAACTTACAGACATTACCACTAATTCAACTACCACAAATCACAAACACAAAAGAAAGAAAGAAAGAAAAAATAAAAAATAAAAAAATTTTGCAGAATCTTCAATCTTTTCATGGAAGAATTAGAAGAAGATCATTTGATCAAAAATAATGGATACATTTCTCCATCATCTTCTCCTCCAACTCCACCATCTCCTCTTCCCATTAGTGTCGGACCCGGCAACCAAAAGTACTCGTTTTCGCCGTCTCCATCGCCTTCGCCGCCCTTCTCACCGCTTCCTTCCAGGCACGGCACGGCTGATAACCTCCCCCTCTTGCTTGAAACCTTGTCCACTCCTGCAGTAGCTCAGGTGCCATCTACATTTTCTTTGGATAAAAGAGCCCCGGATGAGCCATCTGGGGATTCCAATTCTTGCCTTAAAGAATTGTAAGTCCTCCATATTTTTCTTCTTTTGCATTTATTAAGATCTTTAGCTTTATCAAAATATGAATTGCACAATTAGATTCATTCTGAAGCTTAGTTTCTGGCGAATTTAAGTTTGTCATTTTGGAAAATAAACTTTGTTTGCTTCTGTGTGTCAAATTGGAATCTGGGAGTAATTCAAGTTGTGCCTTTCTTCAACCCAGAAAACCCTTTTTCCTTTCCAATACAACTTTTCAAAGATCATTTGACTGGTAGTTTTTGGTTTCATTCTTCATCTTGAAGACACCATTTTTAATTTTAAATCCAAACCCACCTAACAACCAGTCAAAGCCATTGAAATCTGAACTAATACAGCTGGGATTTCCCTCAATGTGCTGGACATCTACCATTCAATATGTTACTTTGATACTGTAAATTTTAAGTTTTTATGTCGTCCATCTTACATTCAAAAATCCAATAAAGGAGTATGTATTTCTTTTTTCTTTTTCTTTTTTTATTTTATTTTTAAATAATAGTAACTCTAGAGTTATTTTTTGGGCCATGAAAACACAGGTTGGATTGGTTTGTAGTAAGATGCTGCAGCTGCTTTTCTTGGTCTTCTCAAATCCTTGATCGAAGACTCGTCAAGAGTCACAGCGATTGAAAGCAGAACTAAGCAGCCAACTTCACAAAAATTTTCCTTATGTTCAAGGGACGAATGCCTTAACCCTATTCTATTCTCAGTAGTTATGCTGACTCATTTGAGTATTGACTGTGCAGTTGCTACAAGATTGTGCTAACTGGAATTTGGACGGTATAGATGTAGGATTGAAACATTGTAACAATATTCTTGAAACATTTCTATTTTCCAATACTCAAAACTGAATCCTTCATTTTAATGTGCTTGGCAAAGTTATTCCACTTTTGTCCGCTGTATAAAAATGAAATTCTCACAATTTGTTCCCAACTGTGAAGCAATATGTAATGTTAACCAGTGTTTTAAACCCAGTCCAGCCTGGCCAATTGAAACGGTTCAATCGGGCCCCAGGTCAGGTTTGTAATTTTCTTTTTTACCAAAAACCCTAAATATTAGGACGGTGATCAACGAACAATTGAAGGTCAGGATGTTGGGACTTTTGAAGAAGAAAGCCGGTGAGTGCAATGGTGGCGACGAAGGTAATTTTTGGTAATTGAATCGATCGAAAATCGAAAAAACCCATGACAGCAATAGTTGGCTTTTGCTGGCAATTAGCAAGGTGAATAAGGGTGAGATCAGATGGGTTTTAGTCAAGAGACTGAGAAGAGTATTTTCGTGGTGATGGAGAGGGTTGTTGACACCAACAGTGGTGAGATCTATCCTAGGTTGTCAACATTGACAATGGTGAGATTTGCGGATTTTAACCAAATCTTGAGTAGATTTTATGGGGAATGGCTCAAGAGATGATTGAGATTTGGGATTCCATTTGATGTATCGTCGCTGCCCACCAATCGATCGCCGATTTGTATTTAATGTGTGTTTGATATATTTCAAAATTGTAGAAACTTAACTGTAATTTTTAGGGGTGCATTTGCTAAATTTTAAAGTTTTGGAGACCCGGTTTGACCGGCGATCAAACCGGTTAAACCTGTCAACCTGAGACCCGACAACTTTGCTGGGTTTCACCCTGAGTTGGTTATTAAAACATTGATGCTGATTGTGAAAAGTCTCAAATCTGACAGAGAACAACCCAACAATGTCAATAAAGCAATTTTGTGAAGTTGCACAGCCTCTTCCAGTACATGATAATAACACGCAGATGGCTGTGACATGGAGCAAAAAATACAGCCCAACATAAAGAGCATAAAATGATTTTAATAATGGAATTGTCCTTCACATTCATAGTAGACATGACTTGAATGGACAACAAATGCCTCTCCTACAATTTTCTAGATTCTCTCGGACTTCTTCAATTATTTTGAAACTAGTCTATGTTATAATTCAATCATGAGGGAAGGTCCATGATGATGATGATAATAATAATCTTCTGTAGCTGATAACAGCTCATTTCGAACTAGAATATAGGATTTATACCAGCTTTTTCTATAATTGGTCAATAATTGACAATCCTATTCCATTTGTATGCTAGAAGGCCAAGTTCAATGCCATGCATATGAAAGTTACAACTCCATATAATCCCTGAAGATGTGATTTGTGGAACAACTTATGGTGGTCCTATACAACTCGCAATTATCAGTAAATAGAACCACGTTACTGCTGATTTTGTTGTCTCTGCTGCCCAAAGTTGGGATGATTTTGTTGGGCATTCTGAAGTGCTACCATGTTAGATTGCAGATTCTGAGCGTTTGGAGCCATATTCCCGAATGCACCTTGTTGCTGTTGTTGCTGCTGCTGCATAGGCATCATGCCTCCCGGGTTGGACGGTCCCATATTAAACACTGCAAGCAAAAGGGCGAAATGCGTTTTAACCTCAGAAATAGTCATAATGAAAATAAATACAGGAAGCCTTTGGTTGTACCATATGTTTTCCCCTTTTTCAAGAGAACAACAAAATTTTACAGAGAAAATCCAAAGTTTAGGGGCATATATCATACTCTGATCATTCAACATTTGGGAAGCATGACTTCTTTGGGGATTGTTACCAGCTAATCCAAACTGCACCAGGGATGGAGCAAAAGATAATGAATCAAGTAAGCAATAAGTTGTTGTTATAACAATCTCACCAATGGGAACTGGAGTAGCTGGCTATTATTTGCATAAGCATATCGAGTAATGTAATAATAAATCAAGGAGAATAAGCAAATAAAATATATGTTAAAAAAAAAAAAAAAAAAACAATATATACATATTGATCCATGACCTTGAAGATCCCATTATGTAATAACTGATGACTGGTCTCACTTCCAGTTTACAGCAAATAAAAATTTTACTAATATAAGGAATGATATTATAGAATAAAGCACTTTTGCACAGAAAACAAGATGACAACTAACAATTGTAGTTCCTTTCCCTAGCCATACTTTCCAAACAAAATACACGCAAATTCATTAATATGTTTTGTTTAGACTTTGAGGCAAATTCAACATAATCTTTTCAATACCCAACAGCCAACATGCAGAGGTGATAGAAACAGGCTTACAATATCATTCATACCATCAGTAACTTTAGCGGAGTGAAAGTTAGAAATTGTTGTTCTTTTGAGTGTCAGGAACCATAAATCTAATCATGTGAGGAATAAAGTGAAGTGGCTCCATAATTGCAACAAACACACCAATTATCTGTAATAAATAAACCTCCAAGTACAACAATCATTGTATATAAGTTTAATCTTGTTTACCACCATTAAAGAGGATTAAGCATTGAAACACTAACAGTAGTTGCTACACACTGTTTAATTTTTTTCAATCAGATGGTAGCTAACATCTACAAATAAGATACTGTTAGTGAAGCTAACCTTGATCCGTAAATATTAATTACTGATGGAAATTTCTTTGCGTTGTGCCCTAAGTGGGCATCTGAGTTAAATGTTAAATGTACCAATTTAAAGAAAAAAATTTCTTTGAATTTGATTAAACTCATACAAGCAGCACCAGATGTTGGTAAAACAGAGCAGGTTTTAGTGGTAAAATTGGCATAACTAACCTGCATCCGTGGAAGAAGCGATTGAGAAGGCATGGTGGCTGACATATTAGGCATCTAAAATAAGAAAAATAAAAAAAAAATGAGTACAATAAAGAAGAATAACCATAACAAAAATGAAAGGAACCGATAAACACTGGAAAAGTATAAGAACAATATGCAAAACAGAACAAATCAGCAGAGTAGATAATGAATATTAATAAATCAACAAGCTGAATAAATAAATATACAGAAAGAAACTGAATGGGTAAAGCAAATTTTAAATGTTCATTTAATGGGAAGAAGAAAACTTAAAGTAGTAAGATTCCTGTTCCAGTAGTTGAGCATGACAGTGACATCAAATATTGAAACATCAACCACAACAACTAGAATTTAATACTCATTCTCAACAAATCTAGATTGAGTAAATCTTCAAAATTAGCCAATACCTGCTACTTTATATATTCAGATATTCTGGTAACAATTGTGCAGCTCAAACATTTGCAAGAGTATGATTTTATGGATTATCAACTTTCATACAAAATTACAAATTAACCCCCAGCTCAAATATGAGAAGAGAACAAATTGCCGTTGACAGTTGTTAGAACAATTGAAAGAGAAATTTTTCAGGGAAGAGTAGCCCAAGAAAAGAACAGAAAGGTGCATAATTGTGACCTAAAGATAAACAAAGCTTGAGAATTTCCTACAAGCCTCCACATCTTATGCCAAACCCAAAATCACAGTAATCTTTGGACTTGCACAATAACAAGATTTTACAACAAAGGATCTGAGCTAAAGAAAAAAACACGAAACAGCTCAAATAAGTACTCTGCAAGAACTTTACTGTCTTATCAAAAACTTATCAGAAAGATACCAGAAAATGTCAAATTATATTTTAATTACAAGACTATTATGGCTTCCATAGAGAGGAAAGGCATGAAAAATAACATGATACCATTACCAAGTAAGAAACTATACCAATGATATAAAACCTAATAAATCTTAGATGAAGCAACCATAATAGAAGAATTATACGACTCACAGAAAAAAGTTACAAGATCTTTGTTATGGAAACTTAAAGAAAGTCCAAGATAGCTACTGCCTGAAAGCATACACTAATTGCAAGAAAAATAAACAAAACAGTGTTATCACCAGCAACACACATTAACATCACTACATTTCAATCTGTCATACCCAACTCCTTGATATTGATCAGAAAATAGAAAAAAGATATTAAAAATTGAAAGCAAATTTAAGTTAAAGAACTACAAGTCTTACCATCTGAGTATTTGGTGACCCCTGAGCAGCATTAAACAATGCACTATTAGCAGCACCAGAAAACTGGCCTAAATGACGATTCAACTGATTTCCTTGGCCAAGTTGGCTCTGACCAATCCCGTGCTGAACATGTCCAGATGGCAGCTGCCTACCTTGAAATTGCTGGTGACCCATCGGCTGAGAAAATTGCATCTGATGTTGGCCATGTAACTGGTAGAACACGAAACACAAGTAGAATAGCTTAATCATGCACAAATTTATGTAACTTCTTAGTCAATTAAACACCCACAACTAAGCCCCAGAAATAGAAACACTCAAATTCTCTAGCAGTGGCATTAGTGTCACTCTGCACACAATAAATTGAAGAGGCTAAGATCACTACATCATGTATAAAGGAAAATTATTGAGGATTCCCTTGACAGATCCCTGAACCAAAGGCTTCTAGTAATCATCATAATAGGTGCTTCTATTTTTATAAATGGTGCATTCTATTGACGGAATTGGAGGTGTACCTTTTGATATTGTTTTCCCAGAAATTAGTAAACTATTTACATAGTTTCTTTTTTTTAGGTTGAATTGAAAGAATAGTGTAAACAGCGTCAGTATTGATTATTAGTAGGTCTGTTGGATATAGCTAGTATAACAAAATGTGAATGACCAACTTTAAGTTTGCAAATATTTACTCAAGTACAATCACTCCAAAACGCTTGCATATTATTACTTTCATTATCACCTTTGTACAAGTGATACAAGAGAGAAAAGTATGGAAAAATTTTAAAACTAAACAAGCTAAAGAACAAATTGCCTGCTGAAACTTTTGTTGTGACTGGCCTTGCAAATCATGAAGCTGCGGCAACTGGTTCTGGACAAGAATATAACAGTTCAATGTAGAATGTCAAAATGGCTGAACACAAAAAAATTCAGCGAGTACAACATAAGAAAATCAACCTAAGCAACTGGTTCATATCACCAAAGATAGGAATGTTTAAGCAAACTTTCAAGGAAAGATTGAGGAGTCCAGTTCTATGCAATGGAACAGACAATTTCGAAGTTGGGACTCACAACTGGCCCTTTGTACACAAGGAAATAAAATCATAACAAACTATTTAAAATCAATATTTACAATGAAAAAACTAGCTCTCTTCTATAACTTCTGGAGATTTTAAATTTAGAGAGCAAAAAGGTCTTTCCTCCACCAAGTGTATCAAAAAACCTTTGTGTCATTCAGGTCAAAGTTCAAATTCATAGAAAGTGAAATAAACACAGAGACAAACACATAGATAAAGCTAGCTTAAGAAATCGTTAGTCTGCAAACAAAGCATATGAATCTCAAAGATATTCCCATTTAATTACAAAAGTAAGCCATTTCATAAGGTTTTTGTATATTTATCTATTTTGCACAGTAGAGGGATGATTGCTTGCTACAATCAAGTGTATAGAATTGTTTTCCCTCCACTAGTATATTGATTCCCTGTGGACACTTGGTCCACAATGAATCTTCTCACCTTTTACTAATTTAATAAAAATTTTATAGTTTCTTATCAAAAATAAGGGTTGTGTTTGGTAGAGTATTTAGAATAGTATTTTTGAAAAAGTTGAGTTAGGTTGTTATTAAGAGAATAGGATTTGAATTTGAAAATGTGTTTGGTAAATTTTTGGAAAACATTTTCTAAAAATATTTAGATTATCTTTTAACCCCCTACATTTGTTAATTTAGCTAAACGCCTCCTACAATAAAAGTTCTAAAATTAACAAACCCACCCATTAAATGCCGGCCACCACCGTTAAACGGTGGCCGAAAGTCACCGGAATGGCACACAACTAGCTGGATCTAGCTGGTAGTGTGTCGGTCTAACCATTTCCGGCCAGATCTACGGCCATATCTTGGCCGTCATTGACGACCAAATGCGGCCAGATCTTTGACTGTAGAACTAGCATCTTTCGGCCAGATCCATGATGGGTTTGGTTAGAAAAGGCCAGATCGATGCACACCGGCCACATCCAACCGTTTATGCGCAATTCCGACAGATTCTGGCCACCTTTTGGAGGTCGTGGTCGGCTGTTGAGAATATGTGGATGGGTAGGTCCGTAGGTGGGAGTGTTTTTGTCAATTTATAAACTTTTATTGTTTGGGGTGTTTTTGTCAATTTATAAACTTTTATTGTTTTTTGGTGTTTAGTTAAATTAACAAACCTAGGAGGTTGAGAAATTCTAAATATTTTGAGTTGAATAAAATATGATTGAATTTTCAGAATATTGAAACAAATATATATTTTGGATAGGATTGGATAGAATAGTATTCATAATAGTGAAACAAACACAGCCAAGAGTTTCTAAATTATCAATACAAAAAATTTTGATGAACTCAGAAAATTTTAAAAATTATAAACTTCAAAATTCTGAGACCTAATTGATTCCAAGACCCTGACCAGAATCAAGTTTCTTGCCACCGTCGAAATTCAAAACGCAAACACGTGCAGAAAGCTTATGTACAAGATGCAATACAATTATCTACTTCCGATGCAAGACAGGAAACTTAAAATTAAATTTAATAGATACTTGTGCCTTTTAAAAAATGTAAAGCAACAACTAAATAATCACTCCAATTACTATCAGATGTTAGCAAAACAAACCTGTCCCAGTTGCATCGAAGACTGCCTGAATTGTTGCTGAGCAAGAAGTTGCTGTTGATGCGGAGGTAATTGCATCAATTTCTGCCTTTGCTGCTGCTGCTGTTGTTGCTGTTGCTGCTGTTGCTGGGTTTGTTGCTGAGGAGATGGTGTATTCATCATGTTTGGGCCTGACCTAGGCGAGTTGGCATATGGCAGTGGAGATGCAGTTGTGTTATCAAATGACGTAGCACTGGTAGGACCAGATGGAGATGCAGCAGGTCTTCCCATGAGTTGTGCTCCCGAAGCCTGGTTGAGAATATATACAGTAACACAACATATGAAAATTTTGTATTTTAACTTCAAAAAACAAGA